TAATCACGATCCATGGGAAATTGTACAATCGTCGAGTTTCCAAGAATGGAGTCTCGATATTTGACAAGGTTTGTTGGGTATAGAAAAATCTAGACCATCCATTTGGGACTAATCAAATTTTCATGCTTCAAAAGTGTGAAGCGTGCGAGCAACGTGAGTGTCGTTAGGAAAGGGGTTGGGGTCGTGGTGGTCGCACCCCCACACCGTAGTATCAACATTGTGGTTTTTATTCTTACTGATATTACTCTACTAACGCCTTCAAAAAGTTACTCCTAAACTAATTGCAAAAAAGGGGTAGGGGTATGTCTTCTCTACTGAATTACCCAAAAAAATGAAGAAGCGCGTGTCGCTACTGACCAATATTTGAAAATAGGGACTTAGGCTCTAACTCATTAGGGTCCAGAGCCCTAGTCCATCATAGAGCCGGCCAAATCCGAAGCCAAGCCTTGGATTTGACTAAGCTGCTTTTTCCTAGAGCACCTCATTCTAAGTGGAACCCAACTATTTTTAGTGTGTTATCTATGGGATTATATAGTATTATGTCATTTACCTTTGGTACAAAGAGGTTATGATTACTTGTAACCATCCGATGTAAAATTTTATAGTTTAGGTGTGCGATAAAGTTTGAAAAAAAAAAAGATTGAACATTGACCATGGTCAATTGAACAAGTAAGCCACCCAATTTCACATTTAAAATTCAAGATTAATTGTAATCTCCATGTACTAAACATAAATTGACCTCATGTATTTTTTACCTTTTTTTTAAGCATTAACTAGATTTTAATTAATAAACATTTTGTCTTAGTTATTTTCAAAGTTAATGGAGGGTTAGGGTTCGAGAGGGCAGGTTTCATTGGGAGGTCAGGACCATGAATTGAAGGCTGACTATGTTTAGGTAATTGATGAGAGGGCGTGGCCTGTCGAGTGTGGATAGCATGTTGGTTGGTACAACTGACTTAGAAACCTTACTTCGTCTTGTGCAACCAAATTGGATGTGGACCCAAGGCCAAAGGGTTCTTAACTCGTTCAAAATTGGATGTGGACCCAAGGCCAAAAAGGATCTTAACTTGTTCAAAAGTGGATAAGGACCCAAGACCAAAAGGAACGCAAATGGTGAAAAATGATAGTAATTTTTTTTATGAGTTATGTTAAATTACTCGTGTATATTACTTAATATTTTTTTGACCTTTAATAATGTTACCTTATAATGTAGTAACTTTTATTTAGGAGTATTTTACATAATTATTTAAAAACAAAATAAAAATTCATGATAGAAAAAAAAATATTTATTAATTATAGTAGAGAATGACATCATCTACATGAGACACAGCATCACCAATATGGAGCATCAAATGTCATTAAATTCTTCTAAAAATAGCTATTATACTCTTCTAATGATGAAAAATACCATTGTTAAAAAACTTCTTGTACTATAAAGCAAGGGTAATTATTATCTAAAAATATTGAGTACATTAAGCAAATGAAAAAATTTATATAGAGCTGAGGCTCTAAACAATCAAATTGGAACCTACATTAAAAATTTCACTACAAGAGGTTGTTTTGATGCCCAAATATCCTCAAATGGATCATCTCGCCATCAAGATGCATGGACATGATAAAAAAATGAATTTCAAGTTTTGGAAATAGTGTATTTCGTAACACATTTTTGGAC